CCCCCTCAGGTGAGGACCCACCATCTGATCTGCTCCCCCCTAATCCCCCTCAGGTGAGGACCCACCATCTGATCTACTCCCCCCACGCCCCCTCAGGTGAGGACCCACCATCTCATCTGCTTTTTTTGTCCCGGGAGCCCTTGGATCTCCTCCTTGGCTCCAAACTCAGAGAAGGAGGTTGAGGAGAGGAAAAGCACATGGTCCCCACCTGCCTGGCTTGACAGGCTCATGGCAGGCAAGGAAGGTGTTTGTGCCTCTCAAGGGAGCAGGGTCCCACTGTTAGGTTCCTGCAGGCTGCTTTGGGGTGAGGGAGGCAGTCTGTCCTTGTCCTCCCCTGCCCAAGGGACGTGACTGACTCCACCTGCCCTCCTGCCTGGACCCCCAGGACCAGCTGAAGCAGCTGCAGGAGACCCTCGGCAGCCTGAGTCTGAAGGAGGAGAAGACGCGACTGTCCCAGCACCACGTGGACCAGCGGCTGAACAGCGAGGCCCAGCGGAGCAGCAGCCTCGTGGCCCAGCTGCAGGCCATGGTGGCTGAGCGGGAGGCCAGAGTGCAGCAGCTGGAGATGGAGGTCGGGCGGCTCAGTGTGCAGGTGAGCAGGGCACGGGCACAGCCCCGACCGCCACCTCCCCCTTGATCGGGCGACTCGGTGTGCAGGTGAGCAGGGCACGGGCACAGCCCTGACCGCCACCTCCCCCTTGATCGGGAAGCTCAGTGTGCAGGTGAGCAGGGCACGGGCACAGCCCCGACCGACACCTACCCCTTGATCGGGCGACTCGGTGTGCAGGTGAGCAGGGCAGCCCCCACCGCCGCCTTTCCGCTTGCCTTGGCTCAGGCCGCGGTGCGTCATCCCCGGCTCTGCCTTGGACGCCTGCTTCTGTATAGCTCCCCAACGCACTCTGCACACAGACCTGATTGTGTCCTTGCTCTCCTTAAACTCTGTTCATGCCTTACTGTCACCATGACCTCACCTGGTCCTCACGGACCCAGGCACTTTCCAGTTTACCCTCTCCCATCCCCAGCGGAGGCCTCATCCTCAGGGTTCAAGACGGTAGCAGCAGCCCCAGCACCCGGGTAGGTGAAGGAAAGCGCCTTCTTTCAGCTTCCAGGCACCGTGTGACTAGCTCTTGCTGCCCCCCTCCCCACACTGCGGCTGCCCAGGCACCATTCAGCTCCTCACGCAGCGCCGGGCTGTGCACAGCGTGACACGCACCCCCTCCCTCTGCACAGCTGCCCCTCGGCCTTCAGGTCTTACCTAGCCGGGAGCTCCCAGGAAGCTCCGGGGCCCCTGTTCTGTGTTATGTGCCCTTCCAGGCACACTCCTGACTCCCTGCGCATCCCCAGCCAAACTTCTGTCACACTGTGTGGTCATTTTCCTGTCTTCTCCCTGCGCTGCCTGTGAGAGAGCGCAGGCCATGGTGCCTTGGCGCCTGAAACTGGACCTAGCCCGGAGTAGATGCTCAGTAAATGCTCGTGGAAGGCGTGAGCTTGTAAAGATACTTTGTCTTGGCAGGTGCCTCGAAGGCATGGCTTGGGGCTGCTAGGAGTCAGGCACCTTCACCTCCCTGTAGCTCCTCCCTGGGGTGGTGCTGGGACTGGGCGGCGCCCTTAGGGAGGAGTTCCTGCCGGGCACACAGGTCTCCCAGTGACAAAGGAGCCTTGCAGCCTCTGGCCCACTGGGACATTGACAGGCCCAGCTACAGGCACGTTGCGAAGCAGCAAAGCAGCCCTGCCCTTTGTTTCTGGGGATCTGTGGTTTGTTCAGAGGCAAGAGCCCAAGAGCCCCTCAGCCCAGCCTCAGGCTGGCGTTGACTGGCAGTGGTTTGCCCTGTAGCCTCTATCCCCACAGGCTCCCAGGACTGGCTATGACACAGAGTATGGCCAGGCAGAAGGGGAGCCTGGGGGCACGGGGAGGCAGTGAGTGGGGACTTGGCCTTGCAGTCCTCGCCCTGCTCCCCATCCTGGCTCACTGGGGTGGAAAGTCTGAAGGCATACACAGGAACATTCCAGCATCCTCACCTCACCACTTTCCCCAGGCACGCAGAAGACTGTTCCTGCCTCCGAGGTCACCAGCTGAATGGGGCCAAGATTACCCACCAGACAAGTCGGCACATGTTTCGAGTTTTCTCAGAATGGGTGGGACTGGGGGACAAGCAGGTTGTTAGGGGCGCACACCAGCTGTCCACTCTGGTGGCCTGACTCCCGCTGGGGGTCCCCTAGTGTTCCTGTCAGCCCAGCCCCCACAGGTACCCAGAAGAGGAAGGGGCTGAGGGAGGGGTGGGGCCTGGTGGGCTCAGCCTCTACCCAAGGCTGCCTGCCCTCACAGAGGTCCCGCCAGCCTCTCTGGCCGCAGGTGTCTGGAAGGTCCAGGTGTCCAGCTGAGTAAGGCAGCTGGCCTCAAGTCACACCGGAGTTTGTCCACACGTGGGGGGAGCCGTGTGGGGAAGTGGGCCCACTCAGAGAGTCAGTCCCTAGCCGCCCGGCGTGCGAGGTCACAAACCTCCCTCTGGACCCGGAGTCTGGCCCGGTCACCGTCCTCACACCAGTAGCCTTCTTTCTGAAGAGAGGCATTATTAGACATCATTATCATGCAAGCAGGGTCCTCAGCAAACAGGCCTCGCCTTTCACTCCTGAAAAGATGCCTCTTTCATATCCTCTGAAAGCCCCGAAATGAAGCCGAGGTCCCCTCCTGCCTTCTCCAGGCCTCTGAGCCAAAGCCCTGAGGATGGAACCCACATCTGTTCCTACAGTATCTTCGGAATAATGGAGCGAGCGAGGGGCCCGGTGTCCCCGAGGTCAGCCCTGCCTGTACCCAGTTCCTGGAGGACCCAGACCTGGCCAAGCCCCCGACCTCGGCCGGTGACCGTGCTGGCAGGCTGGGGTCTTCTCGGTAAGAAAGCCGTGGGATGGAGGGGCTGGAAAGTGAATGTGAATCATTCAGAAGGAAGCTTGTTTTTTGCCACCTCTGATGGGAAGCCATGGGTGCAATTTTAAGATGACTTGCTATTGCTCTGCCAGTGCATGAGCCTGTCTATGGCCTCGGTGCTGCGTCTGCGGGAATGAACCCGTTAGGTCCAGAGCTTGTCACTTCGAGAGCAGGCCTGATGCAGCTCCCTGTGAGAGCCTCTCTGAGCGGGCCTCAACATTTTTCTGCCCCTGGGACCCTCAAGCAGACCTCTGATGGGCTGTGAAGGTTCTGGCGCCTCCTGTTCTGTCTCATTTTGAGCAAGCAGGAGCGCTGGAAAGAAGGGCCGCAAATGCACAGGACCCCTGCCGGCCCCGTCTCTCCCTCACAGGCGGAGGTGAGGCCCAGCAGGGCCCCGGCTGCCTCCCAGGCTGACAGCCCCCTCTGCCTCCGCACAGCTCTGTGACCAGCCTGGGCCACACACTGGTGGAATCTGCTCTCACGAGGCCTTCCCTGCCCAGTCCCCACAGGACCTCGCCTAGGTATGGACCCCCGACCCCGGACCCTCACAGCATTTCCCATTCTGGATTGCTCTACCAGTATTCCCATCCCATTGAAAGGAGGGGAAACAGGCCAGGCAAAGCCCAGGGACTCTTCCAAGGTCACATAAGGACACGGAGGATCAGGGAAGTCTAGTGTTTTGTCCACGGTGATGGAGTCAGCAGCTTCAGAGCTGGGATCTTGGCCTCTGACCCCCAGGCTAGGGTTCCTACCTGCTACCTGAGAATTAACGTGAGGAGCTTCCTGGGCCTGGCTTCTAGCACCTTCCCTCACCTTCTCTTGCTCATTGAGAATGAGCCTGTGAGGGAGAATTTCACATGCTATGGGTTCCCGCTGATATCCCCTGAGCTCTTGGGCCCCTCTTTGTTGATAGAATCAAGCCAGAGGGTGTGAATGAGCCCTTTGTTCCCCCTGCCAGCGGAGACAAAGGGCGGCATTGTCCTGCCTCTAAGCACTGTCGCAGCCCTGCCCACTGTCCGCTGGAGCTGGAGCCGTGCTCCCGTCAGCGCTCCCCGCCCTGACCCTCAGCCAGGTCAGCTCAGGTTCCAGGCAAGGCCTCTGCGTGGCCCCAGCCCCTCATCTCTGTGGCTCCAGGAAACTGGTCCTTGTCGGGGCTGCTGTCCCTCAAAAGTGGGGGGAGGCATGCTGCTCACATTTGGCAGCACAGGGTCTGTGGGCCAAAGCTGCCTACCCGTCGGGCTGGGGTCACAGGGGCACTTCGGGAGAGTGGGCTGCCACCCAGCCGCCAGGCGTGTGCCACGCTCCTTCGGGTGGGCGGCCTCGCCCCAGCACAGGGAGAATGGCAGGCTCGCCTCAGGTTTTGGTCACAGTTCTGGGGTCAGGAAGATGACCCGTTAGAGCCCCTCCGGGCCTGCGTGGCTGGGACCTCTGCACGGCACAGGGATACAGCAGCTGCTCTGCCCCGCAGCCGCCCAGGCAGCCGGTTCTCAGGCGTGTTTCCTCCACAGCACACAAACACTGACCCCAACCACACACGCGTGGGCCCTGCTCTTATGGAGCTCACAGTCCCCTCCCGCAGGTGACGGGCAGGAGTTCACAGGGCAGAGTGACCCCAGAGAATGCGAGGCGTGAACCACTCCCTTCCGGCGCCTCTGGTCGGGGGAGGGCAGGGTGAAGAATCGGACATTGAGAATTGGGGAGCAATGGGGCTTTCCAGACTGCAGCGCGCACAGCCCCTGCGATTGGCAGGTCTGGTGTGGTTCTGATGCCACAGGTCTGTGGCAGAGCCTGGGACTGCGTTTCTAACAAGCTGCTAGGTGACGCCAGAGCCACTGATTCAGAGACCACTTGGAGTAGCTAGACCTTAGGGCATGTCTAGGAGTCCCAGAGTGGCCTGCAGTTCTTGGAGCCCATCTCAGCCACACCTCTCCATGTTTGTGTGAGAACTGGGGCCAGGAGAGGTGAAGAGAGCTGCCCAGGACCACAGAGGAAGTCAGCCCTCAGGGTCATACGTGCCAGCCCGGTTCTCAGGACACTGCCCAGCTCTGCAGCTTCCCGAACCCGCATCACTAGAAAAGTGAGCTCAGAGTCTCACTAGGAAAAGTGGGGGCACAGCAGAGAACAGCTTGGAACTCACCTGTGGGCTCTGGGGGGTTGAACTTGGGGGGCAGAGTTACCTTCTGTCCCCGGCTCCAGCCAGCAGGTCAGGGCTGGTAGGCAGGCCCAGTGGTAAGAGGGAGGCAGGGGCGTGTTGGCTCACGCTGGAGAAAACTGAACAAGTCGCAGAGCCGGGTGCCCAGGCTGTGGGAAGGTGGGCTGGGCTTGGGGACCAAGCCAGAAGATGCAGGCGGGCTGGGGGAGACTGGCAGGGACACAGAGATGGGGCCCCCCAGGTCGGCAGGAGCCAGCTGCCGTAGCCTCCGACTAGTTCCAGGCCTCCGCAGGGCTGGGGTGGACCGTGTGGCTCTGGTAGAAGTCAGCTTCGAAGCCAGCGTGGGAGGCCTAGGGCCCTGAGCAGGACCAGGAGTGGTGGACAAAGCAGCCAGCAGGGAGGACCTAGGGGGCTGGGCTGCTTCCCTCGATCTGAGAACCCCTGAGTGTCCTCCTTTTTCCCACCAGCACGGGGGTAAGTGTTATTTGCAGGCCTCGGCTGACCTCTGCCCTCTGCCCTCCACCCTGGCCCCAGGTTCTTGGACTCCCCAGAACAAAAAGGCTGGCAGGCACGAGTGGCAGAGCTGAAGGCCCTCTGGCAGGCTGCTGAGGTCGAGCGTGACCGGCTCGCCGAGTTCGTCACCGTCCTGCAGAAACGGTAATGTGTGGCACACGGGGATCTCCCCCAGGGCCTGCAGGGGCGGGACTGGAGCCAGGCCTCATGCGTGACCAGGCTCCCTCACCTGAGAGCTCGGCTCCCAGTGCTGGTTCAGGGCACTCCCAGCCACAAGTCATGTGCCCACCCAAAACGCCCCCAGCCGGGGCCCTGTCATCACACTGTCGCCTTAGGAACAACTGCATCCTGCATGCACCCAGTGGGGCTTTCCTGCGGCATGTGGGCGTTGCTGGGAGTCTTGGGGCAGAGACACTCAGGAGCAGATCAGCCCGATCAATCCATCAATAATTAAAACCTGTGATGAGCCTGGCACTGTGCTTGCTGCTGCTGGGGGGTTCGGTGGGAAGAAAACATGAGCTAGACTGACATCTGGAATCGCAAAGAACACGAGAGCTGGGGAGGCCAGAGGGAAGCACGGGGCCCGGGGCGCTGGGCCAGGAGGGTGGCTTTCTCCGAAGCGTCGCTGACAGGCTTGCATTCAGATAAATCAGTGCTCTTCGCTCAAATGATCCTTTTGGCAAGAATTGCAGGTGACCAGGCCAACACATGGCTCAGCCATGTGACCTTCACGCTGAAAAATACTCAGCACACCACTGAGTTTCTGCCCTGTCAGGCCATGTCATGTATCATCGGGCTCGTTCTTTGATGACGGACAATGGAAAGCAATTCTGACTGAATTCAGCAACAGGCAGAGAGCAGGAGGGGAGCCCGGGCAGGCACAGGCGTCTTGGGCAGCAGGAAACCCCGGGCAGGTCCCTGGCCACTGAAACAACACGGCCAGATGCCCTTGTGCCCATGGGTTCTGGGAGAGAAGGCTGAACTGGCCAGTGCTATGCCCGGGTCCACCCCACATGCGAGGGCACTCTGCCTGAAGTTCCTCTGGTGCCCACAGAATGCAGGAGGGGTAGTTTGCCAAAGCGATAAAGGGGGCACTGATAGCAAAAGAAGGAGCTAAGGGTACAGGGAAGGACAAGGGATGCCTGCTACCTCCATAGGGAGGGGCAGCTTTGTTTTCACACAGTACGTAGAGAAGATGTGAATTTCAGACATACTCAAATATATGAGAAAAGCAACATTAATTCTTTTTCTGTAATTGGTATGCAATGGATGGTACAAGTCTTTAGTCTCTCAAATGGTAGAAACATACTCAGTGCAGGCTTTCTCATTTCTCTTGAGTCACATCTGAGTTTGGGGTGTGTGAGGAAGGTGACTCGGTTAGCCATTGCTGCGTAACAAACCATCCCAAACCTAGTGGCTTCAAACACATGGCTTGTGCTTTCTACGATGCTGTGGCTCGGCTGGTCATTCTGCTCCACATAATGTCAGCTGGGGTCACGCACTGCTCTTGTGCAGCTGGCACTTCAGGGGGTGCCTCGGCCCTCCCCCGTGTGGCTTCTTCTCCATTCTGGCTCCATCTCATTTCCAGGGCCTCTCCACGCAGGGCTGGGATTGGGGGCGGGCAAGCAAGGCACCTGGGGTGTGAAATGTCACATACGTGCGGTTCTGTCTGCTGATATGCTGGCCCTTCTCGTGTCCTTGGGTCCCTCCTGCTCAGTGTCATTGTGGGGTGTCGGGGGCTCTGTGGGGCTGTGCTGGGCCCATGAGCCAACACCTGCTGCCTTTTTTCCTTGCGGTTATTGCTAATTCCCTGTGCCGTAACAAGAAAAATTCCCTTAAATCTATTTGGTTTAAAACTAAATGTTTTAAACTAAAACCATTTAGTTATAACTAATTTGGTAAATTATCACAGCTGATGATTGGCCAGTTAAACCAAATTAACTTAATCATTTTAAATTAAAACTAAATGTTTTAACTATCCCGAAGTCACAGGGCCTTCCTTTCTCAGAGAGCCTCAGTCTCTACTCCTTCGTAATCTGCAGTCTGTCCCCGTCTTGCATCGGGAGGTCTTTCTCTGCTTCTCTCTTACTCTGCCCTGCAGTTTCCAGCTGCCTCAGTTCCCCTCCCACCCAGTTCCCTAATCCCATGGGCCTGTCCCAGGAAGACTGCCCCCACCTCACACTGCCGTGGAAAGTGCCTCAGGCAGAAAGCCAGGCCCTCGGGCCAGCTCAGGTCCCTCCTCTCCTCGGGTCGTGTATCCAGTATGTGTCGTCCTGTTGTCCAGCGTCTGAAAACAGGTTCTTTCTTACGCTTTATTCCCTTTCTGGTTATTGACAATCGGAGTTGCTAGTCCAGTCAGTCTGCCACGGGAAAAGTCACTAAATATGTCTCTTTTTAAAAAAACACGTAGCTGGCTTTGTTCTTTAATCTGGGAATTTCTGTGTTTGAACTGTATCGTTTAACCCGTTTTCATTTTGGTAATATTTAATCACCATAGTTAATATTTTCTATTTGCCATGATTTTTCTTTGTTCCTTTTTTCTCCTTCTTCCATTGTATTGGACTGATGAAGCTTTGTTTCTCTTACTTCTTTACAAATTTGGAAGTTAGACATTCTATCTCTGTTCTTTTAGTGGTCATCCTTAGTTTTTTAACATAAAACTCCGCAATCGAGAGTTAGTGGGTTTTGCTACCATCGCTTTAAGCAGAAGAATGACTGTGGAATGTTTTAACTCTGATTTCTCCGTTTGTCCTCTCGTGTCACTGTTTCCTAGTATTTCTCTTGCATGTTCTTTTTTTAAACCCTGAAATTAAACCCTCCAATTTAAGTCTTGAATATTGAATAGTCAATATTCATTTCCTTTTGCCAACATATTTGAAAATGTCTTCACTCACTGTTGCTTCTTGTATCTCAGTCTTCCTTCTAGGTTTACTTTCCTTCTTGCTGAGATGCTCTTTAGTTCAGCGAGGCCACGTACATGGTAAACTCGCTGAGTATTTGTTTATTTTTATTTATTTGTTTGTTTGCTTGTTTGCTTTGTGCCCCAGTCTCTCTCTGTTACCAGGCCAGAGTGCAGTGGTGTGATCTCAGCTCACTGCAACCTCCGCCTCCCAGGTTCAAGTGATTCTTGTGCCTCAGCCTCCTGAGTAGCTGGGATTACAGGTGTGACCTACCATGCCCAGCTAATTTTTATATTTTTAGTAGAGATGGGGTTTGACCATATTGGCCAGGCTGGTCTCGAATTCCTGACCTCAGGTGATCTGCCTTCCTCAGCCTTCCAAAGTTCTGGGATTACAGGCATGAGCCACCGTGCCAGGCCTGAGAATTTAAAATAAATTTGGGCATAGAATTCTAAGTAGATGGGTATTTTTTCTCAGCACTTTGAGGCCGTCCCATTGTCTTTTATCATCTACTATTGCTAAAGAGAAATCTGCTGTCAGTTTTGTTGTTATTCCTTTACAGATTTGTCCTTTCTCTCCAGATGCTTTTTCAGATACTCTCTTTGTCCTTGACGCTTTGAAATTTCACTGTGATGTGTCTAGATGTGTGTGTATAGATAAATATATATATATATATATGTAATACACACACATGTGTATATGTAATATGCCCATATATTTATATATGTGTAGATATATATTACATATATACATATATAACAAATTTATATATATATATCACACATATGTGTGTGACTTTACACATAGATAAATATATACATTTTACATATGCATGTAAATATGTGTGTATATTTTGTGTATATGGGTATATGTAAAGTACACATATGTAAATATATGCATCTATGTCATATGCGATTTTATCTACTCAGAAGTTAATGTTCTTTTTCAATCCACGAACTTTATATATTCCCAAGGACTGCTCCCCTTATCTATGAGGAATATGATTTTGGCGGTTTAAAAGGAGGCTTTTTTGCAAGAAGTAGGTATACTTTATAGCGGAAAAGCTAGTAAAACTTCCAGTAGCATAAGGCAGAGGTTTCAATGCCAACATGATGAAATATTTATTTATTTTTGAGTCTGAGTCTCTCTCTGTCACCCAGGCTGGAGCGCAGTGGCATGATCTTGGTTCACTGCACCCTCTGCCTCCCAGGTTCAAGTGATTCTTGTGCCTCAGCCTTTTACCCAGACTGGAGCTCAGTGGTGTGAGCGGAGCTCACTGCAGCCTCCATATTGCCTCTCCCCCATTCTCCCTATTCTTTCAATCTACAGTTCCTCGTCAATGTATGTTCAGTTTTCTTATTCTTTCCTCCACAGCTCTTTACCTTTACTATTTTGGGCTAAATTCTAGGTGATTTCTTCAAATTGGTCTCGTAGATCGTTAAATATCTTCCGTTGTACTTCATGTACCGTGAAACCTATTTTGATAACGGTATTTTTCGGCAAAACCTGTTCTCAGCCAGGCTCAATGGCTCGTGCCTGTAATCCTGGCAGTTTGGGAGGCCAAAGTGGGTGGATCACCTGAGGTCAGGAGCTTGAGACCAGCCTGGCCAACGTGGTAAAATCCCATCTCTCATAAAAATACAAAAAAAATTAGCTGGGCGTGGTGGCTCACACCTGTAGTCCCAGCTACTCGGGAGGCTGAGGCAGGAAAACTGCTTGAACCCAGGAGGCAGAAGTTGCAGTGAGCAGAGATCATGCCATTGGCCTCCGGCCTGGGCAACAAGAAAGAAACTGTCTTAAAAAAAGAAAACAAAAAAACCCCTTCTTTTCTCTTTCTTATAGCTTTTTTTTTTTTTCCAACAAGATTTTTGCCTTTTTAATAATTTTGGACTTACTCCCTTTAGAGTTTTCTACCATCTTCACTACTTAGGGTCCTATGTAATGTCTGTCAGCTCTCCCCTTGTAGTAAATTATTTCCCTGTAGTTTGTATTTCTGTGATTTTATGAGCTTATCTTCAGTGGGGCTTTTTTTCTTGCAGGAGTTCTTAGGTTTTGCCAGTGTTTCTGTGACGCTCTCAGGGTTTCAGTGGCCTCTGATCGGTGCGTTATGCTCCTGTATCGGCGTTGATTTCCTTAGCACAGAGTGTGCCCTTGTGTTTCAGTTCCACATGATTGCTGCTTCCTCCCCTCTTCCCCATTCCTCAAGGCTTCCTTACTGCTCTCCTCAGCTTGTAGATGGATATG